CAATACAGACACATCTGTAACAGTAATGAAGCTCGATGCTAGATCGAAAATGGATGGTGTTTTTTCGGTGCTTCTACGTATGTGTTTGCCTTGCATGTGATTGGCTGTGTGAGTAGGTGTGTCAGTGATCATATTAAACAATGCTTTCAGAATGTCTGCTGCTTACTCCATCATATGCAGTTGGTATTTCTCTACGTAATCCGGGGAGAATTTAGAAATGTTTCCGCTTTCCACTGAAGGTCCCAGCTGTTGGAAGATTTCAGCTTCATGGTGTTAACAGGCAGTGCTCATGTAATGTCTGTTGTTGAAGGGTTGAGGGAGGTGATGAAGCAGAGCCAGCTGCAGGTCCGTGTGTTGAGATTGCGCTCAAGCAAACAGTGGTGATGCATGCGTGGATTAACCTGTTTGGAGACAAACATGTGTTATTGTTGGGGCCTCTGTTGCCCCCTGTAATTGTCAGGCAAAGTGCTCAGAACATTATAGATGGCGAGTCTTAATATTTTGCACAAAAAAAACGGTCCCAGTGAACCCGCTAATGAATTTTTTCTTGACACAGTGCTTTTAAAACTAATTGATTATCAAAATAGTTTAATGTAATCCGTCAACTAAGCAATTAACTGATTAAAAAAACAATTGATGCAGCTTCGATACAATCCTAAAATACTATGTGTGGTGAGTCATTTGGGGAATACAGCTTATTTAAGAATAAGGCATTACGGGAGTAAAATTGACAACAAATTAAACCAAAACAAGAGCATAAATGCATTAAATTTCAAGCCAGTTGATATTGTCCTTTTATTGATTTAAAATCCAAACAAATTTGAAAGTAACCAAGTGCACCTTGGCACCGAATATGAACTGCGGGAACTTTGGATGATAAATGAATAAACGTATGTGGTTAGATGCACCCTTGTTTTTCTTACTTTCTGGGTAGGGTTAGTTCGGTCTTAATGAGCCATCCCACTCAAACATTGGAAGATTTGAGCTGCTTTGACAAACAGGATCCTCCTGGAGTGTGAAGGGGCTGCTGCGGCCCATTGTGGCTGAGCTCTGTGCTGGAGGGGCACACCGGATGAAGCCCAGCGGTGGGCTTGTCCTGGGCCTCGAGCCTGTGGGCCGGAAGAGTGAGGCCGTGGTTCACTGCCATTCTGAAAGGCCCCTGAGAGTCCAGTGTGATGGACAGTCTGGGGCTCTAACACTGGCTCTTTGTATCAGGGCTTCTTGGACTCTCTCTCTGTCTCAAGTATTTCTGTCTCTTTCACACAATGTCTTACACACACACTTTACAATCGTCTTTTTTTCCCCCTCTCTCCTCGTGATCTCGACGCCGGCAAATGTAGCCTCTGCTGTGCGGTCTGATATTGTCATCACACACAGTCGCTAACTTGTCCTCTCCTCATTCATGGTCTGTAGCGATGAGGTGGAGAGTCTTGAAGTGGTCGGACCTTAACCTGGTGTATTACTCAGAGACTGGGAGCATGTGAAAGTCATCAACGGGAGAAGGGCCCAATGTGATTCTCATTTATGTGTAGGCTAAACTCAGAACAAGCCAGCAGGATCCGTTTAGTACAAGCTTGTCGTTAAAGGAGAGTCACCGGCTCCTACTGTTATCCCCTGTGGAGGTGGGTGATTTCAGCTAAAGTCTGACCCGCAATATCCTGTACACTATGAAATCCCACACAGCACTAAAGAGAAAACAGTCTGTGCTCTGCTGTGTGGTAGATGTTATAACTCTGAAATACACTTCTCAACGTATTCTGTTCAATTTACTCCCACGGTCGATCTAATTGCAGAATCCATTGCTCTCTTTGAACTACACTTTGCTGCACTGTAAGGAATGTTTTTTTACTTTTATTGAGATGGATAAACATACAATTTATCTACTGTAAATTAAGACAGTACTGTAGCTTAATTTGAGATATATTTGTATTGATGTGTTGCAAAGAGATCATTTTCCGTATGAGTTCAGTGGGAATCTCCTGGACTCTCAAATAAGTCACTGTACCCGATGTTTCCATCAGCTTACAGTATTGATGCAAAGCTAAGCTAGCCGGCCAGCTATAGTGCTTTATTGAACCAAAAGATATAAGAGTTGTACATACATTTCAACAAGAAAGCGGATGCCTACATTGAAAAAAGTCAAAGTAATCCTTTAACCCAACAGTTAAAGAATAAAAAAACTCTGGTGTCAAGAACTGATCCCACCTCTGGTATTAATCCATTAACTGAATGAGACTGATTTTTACTTTGGTGCAGACTATTGCCCTCATGGTGCTGCTTGAAGTGGAGTTGGGCTTTGATGTGATTTCTGTCTCCTCTGATGCCTAATACCAAGACTTAAGCTTTCACAGAGACCCTTTGTGAACAGAGTGCTATTCCAGAGGCTAACCGTTGAACCCCATCAGTGGGTCTGTCCTTGTGCTGCTGTTTTTCCAGACTTATGCTAACCTGCAACACGTTCAGACCAGCTGTGAAAATACCACCTTGGATTTATTGTGTTATTAAGGATAACAACCTGTAAGTGACACAATGTTTCTCCTTTGAGAGGGATATGTCTAGACAATATTCCCAGTCTGGATGGATGGAAGCTTCAAAAGCAAACCACTCCGGTACAATTAACACAGATGACTTATCGATCAGATTGGTGGCTTCAAACTAAACGTACATGTGCGCTCTCTAAGTGCTCCAAGTTAGACAAGCATGGCAGAATTGGTAGATGCATTCATGTCAGCCTGACCTTGTCCATTTCAGGCTTCAGTGGAGAGACAGCTTGACATTTTAAAGCATGTTGTATATTGCCTGGATGGCACTTCTGTTTCTCTGAGCTTTAGACATCCCCGTCTGTGTTATTTTCTCATTTTCAGATCCAGTAACATGCAGGATATTGAGGCAGACATTACTGTCATGATGATATCCTGGCATCTAGCTCCATGCCATCAACGTTTAGACGGTTGATCTAATGGGAATACTGACTCATTTCAAGACAGGGTTTGAAGACTAACAGATGCTTAATGAGTTAGGCAGGCGAGCCAATTTTCATCCATGACACGTCACAGTGGATTGCGATCAAATGAATATACAATAAACCAGCGCGTCTTTATAAGAGAGATTTGGTAATGGAGGCAAACTTTCACTTTGAAACATATCTTCTCTTCAGGAGGTTGAATGTGAGAACGAGAGGATTTATAGCTGAGATTCAGTCCGCTACTGGATCAGAACTACCTGACATTGACATTCACTACAAGAGCAGTGTTTCATTTAAATGAATTGTATTTACTTTGCAGCTGGGCTCAATATCCTGTGGAGCTTAGAGATCTGACTCCCAGCAGCCCACTCGCCCTCCCCCTCACATGTTCATCAGAGAAATGTGGGCTGCGGTAGGAGTTAGCGACTCCGCTGTGGGCACACTCATTGAGTTGTGGTTAACATGCTGCCATGGCAACTTCTTTTCACCTACCACGGGACACATTTTTTATCTCCCTGTACTACACAAACAGTCAGGATGAAGCGTCTGGCTGCAGAAGTATTGGACCAGCAGCAGTATTTCTCTTCTAATTTCCTTTTGTCACGGCAAAGAGCACAAACAAAGATGAACTTTCGAGATTCAACACTCAAGACAGTCAAACATTTGCAAGGTCTGCTTTTTATCAAGAAAAACACACATTTGCCTCATAGAGTTCTGCGACATCCCATATATTTTACACTACATCGGGAGAGGGCAGAGATAAGTAAAATGGTGAATCAGATAATTCAAGAAGAAACTTCAATTCAGTATATAACCTGTTAGCATGTACTCACCTTAAGAAATAACAGGATTTACAGAACAGCTTAACATCACAAAGTATTCATCTGCATAAACTGGTATCTTATACTTTTGATATTAAACAGAATGTGCATACATTTTATAGACACTACAGTCGTATAATGTTTTGTTTTTGTGTTGTATTGTTTCTTTTATACGTAGTGCACCGGCTAGTTGCCAACATGAGTAGATACCAAGGTTTAAAATAATTGTTTTTGTTCGCTTAAAACTCATGAACTTTTGAAAATGACCCGAAAGACGCCCAAATACATGCATAGCACTGAATAAACTGTAGATTTGGTGATACATCTCAGAGTGACCACACAAACAGACAGTCATTTGATCCATTGTTAATGTAAAAATACTGATTATAACATCTTTAAATACTTTAGTTGCTGTGTGACATCATGCATATGTGAGAGCTTTAAAGCATAAACAGCCATTGCCCTCCACAACATCCTGTCAGACACATGTGGATCCGATTGGAAGCACACTGTGGTTTGTTTGCTTGCATCCACAGACGACACATTGTGGTGACTAGCTCTGTTTCACAAGGCATAAGAACTGGGTGAGGCCGATCCATCCGGGTCACTTCATTCCCCCATTGAGAATTACCATTGATTTCCGATACAGCTTGGCTGACACCATTTCTCTGACCTGCTGGATGGCCATTAGTGCCCTTTAGGTGTTTTGATGAATTGTCAGATGAAACATTAAAGGCAGTGTGGACTGGTTACACCTCGGCCTCTCACAGCAATACATGTTTCTGTTCCTCACATTGCAGGTGTCTCAAAAGGAAGCACGCTGCATTAAGTGTGACCAAAGACATATTCTATGAAATCTATTTTGAAACGGACTGTTCTGCTCTGTCTGTTTCAGTTCCTCTGTTCATTAGATATCTAAATCTATTTTTTTTTTTTTATGTGTCCTGATGGAAGATGAATGCTATTTGGATTTCATTTGGCCCTGGGTTAGACTGGAGATCTGATGATGAATGGATGACTCATATGAATATTCATCTCATACTTCTTCCCCCTTAGATCACTTCCTGTCCTACAAGTAAAACACAATCCCTTATATGGACTTGGGAGTTGGTTCATTTCCTTTATTTCCTTTTAGAAGTAAAACGATTTGGTACAATGTTTCAAGATATCAATGATACTTGTCGTTGACCCAATCTTTTTATTTTTCTCTCCAGGTTGCTTTGAGTGCTGCATCAAATGTTTAGGCGGGGTGCCGTACGCGTCGCTGGTCGCTACGATCCTCTGCTTCTCCGGCGTGGCCCTGTTCTGTGGATGTGGCCATGTGGCTCTCACCGGCACCGTGGCCATCCTGGAAACCCACTTCTCCAAGGTCACCAGTGATCATGCCATGCTGAGTGATATGTAAGTGAAATAATACTCTTTGTGCTACTAGCTGCTTGTTAAAAAGGAGAGGCCTAAAAGTAACCTAACTCTAACTGAGGTCAACTTCATTAAGGCTATTTTTAGCTGATGGTGTCTCCCACGTTTACCTTATCCTGGAGAAAAGTCCTAATATGGACTCCAGTGCATCCATTAGTCCAATAAATGAGGAACAAGAGACAGGACTGCACATGTGTCTTATCTTGTAGACATTTGGAGTGCACTGTTTAATTTAAGATATGTACAGATGTAGTCTGTCTCTTGGCAGATTATTCCCAGAGACGTGCATCACCTGTTATCTTCACATTTGGGCTTTACGTCTCTCAGCGCGTCTTTAGATCACTATCTTAATCACAACCATCTGTCGATGAGTGTAAGCAGCTATTCTCCGCACCAGACAGTGGGACATGATGCTATTAGGTTACCTCACAGTTTTAGTGGGTCCCTCCAGGTGTTTCTTGTGAGGCTAAAAGTGCTGGAATTGTGCTTACTACTACATGTTTAACCTTTTCCAGCTTTACAGGCACAACTAAGCGTATGTGTGACATTGCTCTTTAACAGAATACAGCTGATGCAGTATGTCATCTATGGCATTGCTTCATTTTTCTTCCTGTATGGAATCATTCTGCTGGCTGAGGGCTTCTACACAACAAGTGCAGTCAAGGAGCTGCACAGTGAGTTCAAGACCACCATCTGTGGACGCTGCATCAGTGGAATGGTATGTTTGTACAACCAACCTGCTTTATAAACATACAGTGCTTTTAAGTCATTTTAAAATGCCTTGTAATTATTATCTGATGTTGCGCTTATACATTATTCCATCTCCGTGTCCTCAGTTTGTGTTCCTCACATACATCCTGGGTATTGCCTGGCTGGGTGTGTTTGGCTTCTCCGCTGTGCCAGTCTTCCTCTTCTACAACATGTGGTCCACCTGTGCCACCATAAAGTCTCCCATGGCCAATCTCACCGACATCGACTCCATCTGTGTGGATGTTCGTCAGTACGGTAAGAGAATAGACCACTTTATTAGTCTGTATTAAAGCATTATAGGACCACTCAAAACCAAACAATGTCAACTACTGAGCCCTTATCACCTATTGCATAATACACATCAGGATTAAATGATCTGCATGTCTAAAACTGTTGTAATGTCCCTTTTTTGTTATTTAATAGGACATTTCCCCCCCAAAAAGAATAACTAATGGTCTGATTTTTGTTTGATTCATCGCACTGTACAGTTTTGATGATGGTTTACATGGTGCAATGAATTTGAGTGTCTAAAGCCTTTGAATGTCTTGACTGCAGGAATTATCCCATGGAATGCCACACCAGGAAAAGCCTGTGGATCTACGCTAGGTGACATCTGCAGCACCAGCGAGGTACGAGTTTATTCTTTTTCCACATACTTACATTAGCAGAGGAGCTTGGCATCACATTTCTGAACTGTAGAATAACACTGCTTTTGTCTATTTCCAGTTCTACTTGTCCTATCACCTGTACATTGTGGCGTGCGCCGGGGCAGGAGCCACTGTGATCGCTCTGGTAAGATTCCCTCCAGTCTCTCCATCCTCTCCCTTTAGTCCATCTTTGCACGGTTTGTATCGGCAGATCATGTGTCAAGTGCTCCTCTCCTCATACCCATATGGTTTATGTAACCACATTAAGAAATATACATGTAGTCTTTTCCTCAGCTCCAATTCCATTTGCTGTTTACCATCTGCTTAGATACACAGCTTTGATTTTATTTCAAGAGGAATGGCAGAGACTGCAGTTTGGGCTTGCTGTTTGTGCCTTAAAAGACTGTAATTTCTAAAAATCACAATCAAGTAGAATTTGTAAAATGATGCTTTCATTTTTTCCTTAACTTTTACTGCTGGAAAATTGGTAACTTTCCTAACTTGTCAGAGTAAAAGTGACGAGGAGGTCCCCGGCATGTTCTCTTACAACCTTTTCTGTTCTCTTCCACCAGCTGATCTACATGATGGCTACCACTTATAACTTTGCTGTTTTGAAGTTTAAGAGTCGAGAAGACTGCTGCACTAAGTTTTAAACTGTTTTAAGAGCACGGCACAGCATTTGAGGCTGTACTGAGTAGAAGAAAGTTGCAACTGACAAAAAATGAACTAAAAAAAGAATAGAAAAATCAACATCTCTCCATTAGTATTCACATGAAGTGTAAATAGCTGACTGTATGCTTCTTTTAGCATTTGGTGTCCAGGGATGTAGCTTCTCTGAGGACACCTGATGAAAGTTGTCTTCAGAGTGGGGGGGTGTTTAGTTGGCTGGTTCGTTCTGCTTTCCTTGGCACTCACTTATAGAAAATTGCCACCCACAGATTTTATAGAAATGCGCACAGCTAGAAATCCACAACAGTGTTATTTATAAATACGTGAAGCTGATTTAAGAAAAAAAACAACAGTATTTTGCTTCCAGTACCTCACCTTGCAGAAAAGGACGAGCATCAGTTGACTGCAGTCAGAGCTGAAGTGCACATTTGTGCAGAAACTCCTGAGACACATACATTTAAAATTGTTGAGCAATATACAATTGTAAAAATGTAGGTTGGAAAGGAGATCATCTAGGCTATATGTACAGTACACAGCTCTGAATTTAGTCCACAAATACATCTGGTGTGAAATTAAAGGTGTTCTCAGGCTTTTTAGTTTTTGCCAGATTTGCAGTTTTAATGAAGATGAATTCTAAAGTGATACCTCTGCAAAAGGAAAATCTACAGAGGCAGAGTGCCTTTCATTGCCTTATATTTCCTTAGCAACCCATAAAACCATTAAGTGTTACACAGAAAATATTCAGTATTAATTATTTTGCCACAAGTCTAAACTGAACTAAAACGCTGATGAGCATCATGGTTGTGTTTATTGTAGATTTCAAAGTAACTGCACATAATAGCACATCACACTGACGGTTTAGGCCAGTACCAGAGGAATACTTCTGCCTGAGGCCCTAAGCTTCACTCTAGTTTCATGTATTTTATAAATAAAAAATAAATTCTCCTATTTTAGAGTAGAGCAAATGTTTTTTTTCTATGAGTGCTGATGCTGGTATTGCCTCAGCTATGACGTTGATATATTGTTTACTACATTTTCCTTCTCTCAAAGTGCCATTAAAGAGCCATTTGTTTTTATCCTAACACTGAGCCTGCATGCTTACATTTGTCAGATTCTTTTATCTGTTTATAGTTACTTATATTCCACATTTCATATATTTAATTTTCTCCTAAGTTTTTGAAAACTGTAGCTTTTACTTTCTATATAAAATAAACAATCTTTGTTTACAAAAGTATCCTCACTTGGTCTATTTCTTTTGGAACCGACAGCCGTATAAAACTGAACTGCGTATGGAACAGGGTCAGATTCACTAAACCCCATGCTTCGCACTAACATTAAGCTTTTACAGCAGCCTACAACGTGCATGCCTAACCTTTGCTCTCTTTCTTTTTCCACTCATTCCCACCCGTAAAAAGTGTCATTTCTGTAGTGTTGTTCTTAGCAGGGTAGTAACATAACTTAGCAATGATTGTAACATTGATGTTACGATGAGTCCTAATGTCTTCTGTCACCCTTTGTTGAAGTCTTTTAAAAGCTTAACTTTATGTGTGTCTGTGATGAACATACTTTAGCTCAGACTCCTGTAGCTTGCTTTGCTTCTTTGACATGCTCACCGGCCATCCACCTCACCCTTCTCTTCCAGATCCACTTCCTCATGATTCTCTCAGCAAACTGGGCCTACCTTAAGGATGCCAGTCAAATGCATGCCTACCAAGACATCAAAATGAAGGAAGAGCGGGAGCTGCAGGACATCACCTCTCGCTCAAAGGAATGCCTCAATTCCTACACATAAGGATATTACACATTCACAAACACACATGTACAGACACATAAACACACTGTGGCCGCTTTGGACCAAGACAATGCACAGCTGTAATAACTGCCGTGACACTGTGCAGTACTAACCCGGCTCCTAACACACTAATGCATCAGTGTTGCTTTCTGCACTAACTCACCAACAAAGTGGATCAAAACTGCTACTTATAATTTCATTTATGCTGTTTTTATTTTGTATTTTCTGAAGGAACAAAGCAATTTTGAATTTATGTAGTCTAATTTTCTCTGGCCCTTTTTTATAGCCAGTTTTTTGCTGGCCAAGCTTGAGACATTGCACTATTCTTATACAACGCATAATGATGACATGTTTGTTTTACAGTCTTGCTCTGTCTTTCTGTTGAGCTGTGGGGTCAGTTTTTAACAAGGGAATGTGACATATTTTCTTGCTTATTCTTTTCAATCACACATGCAGATTGTTATACACAACATAAAAGGCCTTACATTCAGAGCTAGTGTGTGGCTTAGCTGGCATGTTGGAAGAACCATCACTTTACAATGCACTGACAAAAGACTGGCATGTCACAACATGTTTTGCTTTGATATTACAGCAAAGAGAGATACAAATATATAATGTGGATGCAGTTCTTTAGTAAAAGTGGTTGTTAAACTTCAAATATTTAACCGCATCGTAATCATAGTAATAATCTCAGTGATAATTGGTTCTAGAGTTTATGGCAAAGCTACTCAAGGCCTCCATTAACCCTACCTCAGGTGTGCACTAGAGCTTAAGAAACAATTTAACAAACATGTCTCCCTAGAAAAACCATGGTTTCAAAATATAATAATAATTGTAATCACACCGGGAGTTCCTCCACATCGCAGTATTTTAGCATTCAAACCTTATGAATAATGCCATAAGAATATCTTGCTTTCTAAATGTGAACTGCTGCCAATTATTAGACAGGATATTCAACATAAACAAGTTTAGTCCATGTGTTTTCATTTACACTAATGAAAAATAAATCTCTGATTCCTCAGATGTTCCACTGTAATATTGGATCATATATTGCAATTTACGATCAAACTTTACTCGAGTTTGAAAACTCTTATTAAACAAGTAACCAAGTCCCTTGTCGATTGCTACTATGAAAAAGCATACAGAAGTTAGGGTGTGAAAAATGTAAACTTGTTACAAGTCAGGATCTTTAGTGTTTTTTTTGAAGATACAACTACTTCATTTTGTTCTTAATTTGTTATATTGCACCAGTTTTTGATGTGCAATTGTCCTAATGCTGATATAATTACTCATGTAATCTCGTTTCTATTAGTTGATTTACAGGGATAAGTTTCTTTGTTGCATGAAGACAACTGTTTCTGCAGTGACACGTGATGTACAGTCATGTTTCATTTGTATTTGTAATGCTTACAAATTAATCCTTTTTGTGTAGCTGATTCGTTTTTTAGGTTATTTTCTTATAGTTAGAGGTATATAAGTATTGTATAATTTTGTTGCCTGATACCTGTATTTTCTATAAATGTCAAGGGCTTCCTCGTGAATTACAGATGCTTAACTTTTAATTCAACTTTCAGATATCAATTGATAGGACAGCTGTCATTAAGACATGTATAGCAATCTAAATGGTAAATCTAGCCAAAGTATGAAAGCCATTGTGACTCTCTGCCCGGTGTTTTACACAGTATCTGTGAGCTATTAGAGAATAAATCCTGCGTAGTTCTCTATAGAACTAAAGGCCACAGGTGTACAGTGACTAAGGAGAAAGGTGACAGAAGTACATGAAGCTTGTGTACACCTCATATGATCTTTGCACCTGTTGAATGAACCAAAAAACTAAATGAAGGCTACCCATCAATCAGCAGGAAGACAACAATTCAGCATCCTGTCTGACTGGAAAGAAACCCTTTAATGACATCCCTCAAACGCCTGTTGACTGTTTTTATGAAAAATAAAAAATTAAACAAACTTCACTTTGGTGTGATAAAAATATCTTGTGTGGTGTTTTAGTCAATGAAAAAGAAATAAAAAGTGTGATGAAATGTGATTTATTAAAACATGGAGTGAATATAACATCAAATATACAAGTATATACATAGAAAGGCAACATCTTAAAAACAAAACATTACGTTTGTATAATTCATCAGTTTATGATGGCACCAGCTCACCAGAAATCATCCTCTTCATCCTTGTGTGAATATGCTGCAACGCTGGGAAAGCAATTTCAAGTTAATTGGCGTTAGCCTCGAGGGACAGAAAACAAAAAGCAACAATTGTATTTCTCAATGAATGCATCCTCAAGACAACATACTTCCAGAGCAAGTAAGATAAACCAGGAGATGAAAAAACTAAATTAAATGTTTTTGTAAGAGGATTATGTAGGCTTGTATATTTATTAAACTTTCCAACAGTCACAGCAAAGCTTTTAAAATTAAAAAACATTAGTTGCTGTATTCTTAGGAAAAGCCATAAGTCCAAGCAACTGTTTTTAGTTACCTGTCATCTTTCCCTTCAGACAAACTCTTGGCCCCTGGGCTCGTATGTCCGGCTTCTTCTTCTCTTCCCGGGCTCTGAAACCCCCCCCACACACACTCAGTTAAACACACTGGATAGCAGCTAAAAGTCATGCAACAAGAGCGACGTTTTCCACGAGTGTGTTACCTGGGCCTGCTGATTCCCTCTGGCTTCCAGAACCATCTTCATGTATTTCTCCAAGGGATTTTCACCTTTAGACTCCTCCCTGTCATTGGTTGCCTCTTGCTTCAGCTCTTCATCTCCTTTTGTAGCCCCAGTTTCTTCTTCTTCTTCTTCTTCTTCCTGTCCTTGTTGCTCCAGCTCCTGCAAAAGCTAATGAGACATATATACTGTCAACACTCATTTCATTATGTTTTCTTTTTTTATTATGTAGACAATCCTTACTGTCTGTTTCTCCAGTCTTTCCAGTTCTTGCAGCTCCCGCTCTCTGGCCTCCTCTTGATGCCTTTGCCTTTGTTCTAGTCTTTCTTTTCGCTCTCTTTCCCACCTCTGCTCCTCGTCCTCTTCATCTTCTTCCATAGCAGACTGACCTGAGACCTGCAGGACTTCTATTAAAAACATATACATGGTCATGAGTCAATTTGATTGTCAGTCATCACGTTACTTCGGTTTATGATACAATGAAGGGCCATAATAACATGTACTCATACTGATGGTGTACAGTAGAAGGTAGCCATTCTTCTCATTTTGGGTCAACCAAGATTATAGGACAGTAACAGGGGGGGACTAACGACTCACCCGCCTGGCCCTGCATGTCTATCGGGTGTTCTGGGAGGTCCTGTGGGCGGGGGCCAGCGGGGCTGTCAGGGGCCTCCTCAGAGAGAGGGACGGCAGTGTCCAGGAGAAGCTCTGGAATGTGGCCGGGCTCTGGAGGGAGACATGCACAAAGAGATCTTTTATTCCCCACCATAATGCAAAAAGGGCCAGAGGACTGGCACAGAATACATAATCAGATGCCCTTCATCTTCACCATTGTGAGGGGCCACTGAGAGGACACTTTGGAAGCCAGTCACACACTCATTAAAAAACAGCCATTCCCAAATCCTCAGCCTCCACACCGGATATACTCCATTTTGTTTCATGGGATTTCGTTTAAATTAATGATAATGAGAAAAGACTATTTGAACATTTCTCTGAATATACAGGGAAATGTTCAACAGGAAAAAAACAGTATTGAATTTTTAAATAAATGTGGCGTTGTCATTGTGTTTAAGCACCAAAGCTTTCCCAGTATAAATCACAATTCAATGTTGTATTTGAAAACTGGAACATATTTAAATTAGGTACCACCGGAAGAAGGCTGCAGTGCAGTAATAAAATGAACAAAACACAACTGAGTTATGCAGTAGCAGAGTTAACATGATAATGAAAATAAATCAACAACACTGGTACCTGACAAAATCCCTGTGAGATCTTCTAGGCTCAATCTCTCGGGCTGTGGGGAAGAATCCGAGCTGGAGAACACGGGCTGCAGATTTGGTGGGCTGAGGGGAACAAGGAGGACGTTAGTATTCATTGTGTGTTAAAGGGCTGTAATGTCCTTTACAAAAGGGTGGCAGATGGTACCTGGCCTGGTCTCGTGCTGTGCTCCTGAGCTGGGGGCTGCGAGGTGGACTGAGCTCAGAGGGAAAGTCACCTGAGGTCGCCACCTCGTCGCGCGGGGGGCGAGGGAACTGTCTGTCAAAAGACAAATCCGGGAACGGCAGCGGAGACACGACTCTTTCTATAGAATGCAAAGACTTCATGTTACTTCATGGGGGATAGATTATAAGCCAAAAACTGACATGGAAAGGTGTGACTGACTGTTTGGAATGATTTAACTGTGGTCATGTTCTGGAACATTAATGACATATTTAAGTCTCTAAAGTATATGGGCGCTGAATGCCTGCAACTATTTATCCTTTAACAGTTAATAGTGGTTCATTTATGTTTGAAGTGTGTTTAACAGAGGCAAGCATTTTCTGAAGTTACCTTCTGCAATCTCTCTCTGAAGCGGTTTCCTGGAGGAAGAGTACGGTGTGGAGGACAGACGTCTGGATGGAGAGCTGCTTCCATTCTGCGGCTGACCATCTCTTAGAAACTGAGATTCAGTCAACGAATGGAGACTGTGCTCAGTGAAAACTGGGGACTGGGGTGGGTTTTTTTCTGCTGTGAAGGTGACTCGTGGCTGTGCGGCTGGTACGGTGTTTCTGGTTTCATAGGGGGCCGAGGAGGGGGTTCTGGTAGTTTGTGAAGACTCTGGTCTGTGTGATTTGTGGGCAGAGTGTGTGTGGGAGACTTGTTTTCTTAGAGGACTGTCAGGACGATGTGAAGGATGTGCTCGTTGAGGGGAAAGAGGTCTTGGGGGAAGCATGTGTGATATGGTGGAGCGCACCGCCCTCTGCTGGTAGTTCCTGTAAGCTTCCTCCAAGGTATCGGCCTCCTTCTGCAGCTCCTGGATCCGAGCCTTGGCCTCAGCCACCAGCTCCATGTCGGAGTCTGGAGCGTCACTCCAGGGCGACTTGTGTCCTCTGAAGGGCCCACCTGCTTCACAGACATCATCATAACCCACCCTGGCCCTCAGCAGAGCTCGGTCCATGTAGATGTCAGGGGGAACCAGCGTGTCAGCGCTGAGATCCAGAACTGAGCGATCAACAAGAGAGGGCTTGGGGTTACGCAGCACTTCATTTTCAAGAGCTGCCGTCATCGCATGGACACAAACAAGAAAGGGAAAGAAAAGGAAGAGCAGACAGGGAGAGTTGAACACTAACACAGAAGACCAACCACCTAAAAAGATGCTACAACTAACTTGGAGAACTCTATACATGCAATTACATCTATTGGCGACTACTGTTGACTTGGCTTACTTTACTTTTTAAGTAATTGAAAGTAGGGAGAATG